AAGAAAACCGTGAAAAATTGTAATAACGTTTTCACACACACACACACACAGAAAATTTTTTTTTTATTATTTCGATCAATTTTTAGTCTTTCGTTGGTATCGAAAAAATTAAATTTTTAAAAAAATATTTCACTTACAACAAAACAAGACACAAACTAATAATTAATAACTTTTTTTTTTTTTATTAAAAATAAATAAATGATCAAAATTATATATCGATCAATCGTAATATCATTTTTATATAACTAATTTTTTTTCTCCACTTTTTTTCTATTTCTATTTCTTTTTTTTTTTTTAATATATATATATAAATATTTTACACGAAATAACTTTGATCTTTTAAAAAAAAAAAAAAAAAAACTTTGAAAAAATGGAGTAGAAAAAAAAAAAAAAAAAAAAAAAAATTAGCAACCCCCGAAGGGAATAAAAATTATGTCGAATTTACTACTTTAATCGCGACCTATTTTTGGACCCGACAGGCCTGCGGTCCTTCGGTCTATAAAATGTTTACGGGAGAAATGTCAGAGAGGCAAGACGCCCTGCGATAAAAGCGCATGATTTCTCATTACGGATTACAGATCAAGTTAAGGTAAACTACCATGGTAAAAACTTTTTTTTTTTTTTTTACCTCTTTTGTATGAATTTTTTTTTTTTGTAAATTGGGAAAATAGTTGCAGTATGATAATATCTTTTATTAATCACCCATTAATCGAATTTAATAATAATCATTCCTTAAATCGAAATAAAAAGTATGTATACATATATAAAATCCGTTATGAAAGTTTATTAATAACGGTTACACAACTCCTACATTTATTTTTATTAGTATTTCTCTTTGGTTTATTTAAATTTTAAAAAATTATTATTTGTTTAACACGCTTTTATTACTTTCTTAATTTCAAATAATTGTTTTGTTACCATAAATTGACAAATTATTATTATAGTTGAAAACTTTTTTATTGAATTTATTACACTTTCATTCATTACACTTAGTACAATGTAACGGTTTTTTTTTTTTTTTAAAACCTAGCCATGAAAATATCTTATTTTATTATTATTATTCATACTTATTTGTTTTTGTATAATATACTTTAATTATTAATAAACCTGTTTGAAAAAGGATATCAACTTTTAATAATGTCTCATCGGTTTTTTTCTTATTAACTATCATAACACCTTTCCAAGATTCTTTTATAACGGTCATGTATGGCTTCCATATTTAAAAAACAATAAATTTTTCTTAATTTAAAAAAAAATTACATCATCAAATGAAAAGATTATGTGGACATTAATTTCTTGACTAGGAAGTCATTATTAACAACAATCTAAAAATTATAAGGGTAAAAAAAAAAAAAAATTTTTTTTTCCATTGACCTCAATTTAATAAAATTATATAAAAAAAAAAAAAAAACAAATCTAAATAAATTGAATTCAATAATAAGATTGTTTTGTAAGAAAAAAAAAAAATTTTTTTTTTTTTTTTTGTGTTTAATCATCCTCCACTTTCCACGAATCTTGATAATCTAAAAAAATTATAAATTTTATAAAATTATAATTTATTGATATAAATAAATAAATAAATTGAGTAAATGAAATGAATTCAAACCTTTTATTTCCTGTACTTTATTTGGAAACATTTTCACAACTTGTTCCATCCAACTTTTAACTTTTTCATATTCTCCCATTTTAAAATAAGCTTTCCCTTTAAAAAGTGATGCTTTGAAATTATTATCATTATTTAACATTAAAGAAGTTTCACAATCTTTAAGAGCACGACTATTAAGGCCCAAATTTAAAAGTGTGAGTGCTCTATTATTATAAAGTATATATGAATCTTTCCTCACATCAATGGCCTGAAATTAATTATTATTATGTATTACTTTATGCATTTTATTGTTTATAACAATTATTTTTATTTATTATATATATATATAAAATAATGAAAAGTTTTTATTATTACCTTATTGTAAAGATCTAAAGCTTTTTCATAATCTTTTGATGAGAAAGCTTTACATGCTTGAGCTTTAATAACATCACTTTCTTTTTTTCTTTCTTTTCTATCTTGTGCTCTTTTTTTAGCATCTTCTTCTACGGTTCTCATAAATGCTTCTTGTGACATTTCATCACAATTTAAATTATCAAACGTTTGACATTTTTTTTTTTCATCACTTGTGTTGTTGTTGTTGTTTAATGCCTTTTCATTTATGACTGTTTTATTAAATAATTTTTTTGATTCGAATTTATCATGTGGTTCGTTAATAACTTCTTCTTGAAGATCTCGATCGTTTCTAAAACAAAAAAGGAAGAATTATTATATATTGATAAAAAAAAAATTTTTGTTTTATATGAAGTTTTTGATGTAATAAAATAAAATGGCAGTGAAAGTATATATATATATTTAAATTATTTTAACGTTAAAATAACGTACCCTATTTATTTATTTATTTATTTATTTTTGTTGTTGTTGTTGTTTTAGGGTTTAATTTAACTCACGTTTTTTAAGAAGTTTCCAACAGAATTTTCTCACTGCCGAAACGTGTCGAAAAACTTCGAATTTCTTCTTTTAATAAATTTTTATATATTTAATTAATTTGAGGGCTCTAACTTATAAAATTTAGTAAAAAATAAAATAAAAAAAAACAAAGCCAATTAAAGCATATATAAAAGTCCACCACCTCTTCTTTTTCTTTTGATTTTTAAGCCAGGCATCGGCATTTTTTGACGCTTCTTCTATTTCAGCTTTATTATTCGAAGTCAATGCGTGAACCATTTTATTAACTTCTTCCACTTTTCTCATAAATTCTTCAAAATCATCCAAATCAACGCCTTCTCTTTTATTTTCGACATTTTTTAATTTTTCGTAAGCTCCCTCATAAATATCCATTATCTAATATATCGAAATATTATTAATATTTGAAATTATATTCACAAAACCAAATTTGTTTAATTTATGTTGTTATAGCAACAATTATGTTATTAAAATTTTTTTTCAAACACGTTTAAAAAATAAAGCAATAATAATAATAATTATTTTAATTAAATTATTAAAAATAAAATGTGAGTAATTAATTATTAAACAACAACAACAACAACAATTACAATTACTTTATCATTATACTTTTTCCTGCGAGTAAAAAAAGTATTATAATGTCAAAAAAAATTTTGTCCGTTAGTTTAAAAGACGTGGCAGTAGAATTCGCGCAAGTCAAAGTAGTAGGTGCTCCGTTAAATCTCTCTGATAATGTCAAAGAGTCTTTTTAATAATGTAATTAAGTGATAAATTATAAAAATGATTTTCAATACGTACTTTATTTTAAATATTTTAATTAATTGCCAATTTTTTTTAGCCTTCGGTTTAAGGTTAACTCAGTATTTAATTAATAAATTTTTATTTTATTTAATTACCAAAGGACAGTGTAAAATATGGTAAATTAATTTTTGAATTATTTTAGTTTAACAACCACCGAATCTTGGACTGGAAGATGGTTTCCTGATAAACCAACTACGCCAAAACCAAAAATTAATATTCCATTAGAAACACATAGAATGCCTATGGGTGATATTAATCCTGAATGTGATGATGGAAAAGTAAGAATCTCGTTAAACTTAAAAATTATGGTTTTTTTTAAATTTAATTTTTTATTAACAAATATTTTCTTTAAGGTTAATACAACAATTGATTGGGACGGATCAATTTTAAATTATATTTGCATGAATCCAAGAAATAGATTTGTACCTGATGAATCAATCGAATCTATAATTGAATTTGAAAATATACCTGAAGCTTATGAGGTAAAATTATGCATGAAAATAAGTTATTATTACATGCCTTACAATTATATTTAATAAGAATTCAATGGTAATCAAAAAAAAAAATAGTTTACAAATATAATTTACTGTAAATCGAAAAAAAAAAAAATTATAAATTTTAAATATTATTATTTATTTTTAAGGCTCCACATTTTTGTATGGACACAAAAATCAAGTACACACAAAGTTTACCAACATTGTAAGTGTGTTTAATTACTTTAAAACTTTTATTTCAAAATAAATTATTTATCAAAAACCTTTTATCGTGTTTCAAGTGGACCACACAGACCATTGTGGCCAGTTTATGGTGAATATGAATACCTTCCAAAAGAACGATGGCTTCATACATTAGAGGTAAATTCAATTACATACTGAATTTATAAATTAAATTATTAAAATTAATTCAATGCAATTTCAGCATGGTGGTATAGTTGCTTTGTACCATCCGTGTGCAGATCTCATGGAAATTAAACTCCTTAAAAATTTAGTAAAAACATGTTTAAGACGCCATGTTATTTCACCTTCAGTAGATTTGACAAAAGAAAGAGTAAGTTAAAGTTAAAATTTTATTAACAATATAAAATACTTATTTATTTTTTTATTTTTACAGCCTTTTGCCCTTTTAGCATGGGGTGTTCGTTTCACAATGTCAACAGTTTATCCAAATTCTATTCGTCAATTTATAAAAGAAAAAGCTCTTAAAGGTCCTGAAAAGTTATCGGATGATGGTCAATTTAATTTAAATTTAATAGAAAAAGCTTTAATCGTTTCAAATATTGATGATAATGACCTTTGCCCTGACAAAATGAAATAAATCCTCATATTGTGAGGATCCATTATTATTATTATTATTATTATTAATTTAATATTTATATAAATTTTAAAAGCTTTACATAATTTTAAACATTTCGCACAATTTTCTTTGCTCTCATTTTTTCATATCGCTTATAAATAATTGTTTTAACGTCACAAATAATATTAAATAATAATAATAATAATTCTTATCAGTATTATTAATAATAATAAAAATCCATCATCATTTACCGAGTGATTATTTTTTTTATATTTAAAATTATTCGCAGCTTTTTATAATTAATGTATTTTATTATATTATTTTAAAATATATATATTCATATTTTAAAGATAATAATAATATTTTAATAGTAATTAACCAGTTACCAACTCATTTTTTTTTGATAACAATAAAAAAAAATTTTAATAAATAATTATTAATTTTCTAACGGATAAACATAAAAAATAAATAAATAAATAAAATTTTAGTTCAATAAATATTATTTATTACAAATTAATAAAAAAAAAAAAAAAAAAAAAAAAAAAGAAAATGGCTTATTTTTACACAAGTCTCAATCAACTAATCAATTAATATGTTACTAAAAAAATCTTAAATAATTTAACTTTTTTCTTTCTCTTTCTAATCACTTTAGGCACAATTTAAATGTTATTTTCTATAAAAAAAAAATTGTGATAAAGCATTATTATTATTATTATTAATCGAAACAAAAACAAAACGTCAATAATCGTACAAAAAAAAAATTATGTTATTATTATTATTATTATAACGCGTTTTTCAAGCAAAAAAAAATCCATCAAAATTATTATAAAAAAAAATTTATATAATAAATTCATTAAATAAATATCATTTGAATGATTATTATTGTTATTATTATGTAAATAAAAAAAATCTACGGTTTTGTCCTTTTTCGTCGAAATAATTTTTTTTTTACAATAAAATATTTACACGTTTGAATACGAAAAAAAAAAAACCGTTAAAAATGGGAAAAAATTTAAAAAAGTTTCACCCTTTTCCGTTTGTTTGTTTGTTTGTTATTGTGCGTAACAATTTCTTTTTCCTTTCTATTATAAACAAACGAACAATTTATAATAATTTAATTAAGTAATTTATTTATTAATTAATTTCCTTTCGAAATTTCTTTCCTTATTTAACTCTTACCCCCTCTTCCTCCTTCTCCTCCCAATCCACCCCATCTACCCTATCCACCCTTATAAATTCTTTTATTACTTTTCCGTTACTATTATTATTATTATTTAAATTTTATAAAAAATTATTTTTAAAGAAAAACGCAAACGGCAAAAGATTTTATCCCACATTTTCCCATTTATTACTATTATCATTATTATTCTTTTAAAATTACATTTAATTGTAATAATAATAATGATAAACAGTCTAACAGTTAATTAATTATAAAGCCATACATTCTACAAATTTTTTATTTATATAAAACATTAGATTTATTTTCTACTTAAGAAAAAAAAAGGCAAAATAATTATTAAAATTAAAAATAAAATGGCTGCCATTTTTATACATAATAAGTTAGTTAGTCTCCTTCTCTTCTATTATTATTATCATTATTTAAAATCTTAAATTATTTAAAAGGCCCGTCATTTTTTTTTAATTCGATATAAATATAATTACTGATAAGACACATTTTAGATAATGATAAGGCATAATTCATTTTTTTAAAAAAAGGCATAAAAAATTTCCATTCATTTTTGATCAATCAATCAATCAATCACCGAATTTGACACGATTTAAATTTCTTTACAAAAAAAAAACCTGAGATTATTATTAATTTGTTGTAAACCTTATAAAAAAATTTCATTTCGAAAACGAAACAAAAACAAAAACGGACCCCCGTAAAAATGTAACGTGTTTGTAAACAAAAAAAATATGATTGCAGGTTAATGTGCGTGTATATAAATAAGCAGAAGATAACAAAACAATAGCTTTGGATTAGTTTTAAAATTTTGTCTTCTGCTAAATTAATAAAAAATAAAAAATATCTCGACGTATTTTTTTTAGTACATTTCATTAAAAATTAAAAAAAAAAAAAAACAAAGATGTGGTAGTATCCTGCTGAGAATTACTTTGCGACGGGGGTTTTCCCTGCCCCCACCGTCCACGCCCCCCCCCCGTTAAATGAATTTTCCGATTTTCCAACTCGCAATCCGGAAAACAAAAAAAAATTTCTTTTAAGAATATTTTTTGCCGTACGTTGGATTTTGAACTTCGTATTTTTGTATTTCACGGAAAGTTTGTACTTCGTAAGAACCCCCTGAAAATATTAATAATAATAATAATAATGATAATTTGTAAATCGGGGCGGTCGGCTAGGAATACAAGAGGGAAGGGGGGGGGGTATAATAATGATAATAATATTTACCCGGCGGAGGAGCAGGTCCGTCGAATTTTTGCAACTCGAAGAGATTTCCCTGTTTGACGTCGGAAATGACTCCTGAAAAATTATTATTATTATTATTATTATTACTATTTTTTTTTAAATTGTCCACGATGATAATAATAATGATAATTATGTGAAATTACCTTGCTGTGGTAAACTATGGGCATCGTATTTTTGAGATTCGAAAAAACCGTGTTTGGTTTCTCCCAAACGACCTATTAAAAGAGAACAATAATACAATTTAAATGGCGGCGAAAATTAAAAAAACCGGAAGTGAAATAATTTCCAAATTAAATATTTTTCTTACCCAAAGTTCCGTGACCGCTTGATTTTTTAAATCCGCCTAAATTATCACCACCACCGCCACCACCGCCACCGTTATAAAGTGCCGATTCCGTGTAGGTGGTCTGCATGGTAGAACTGCTACCTCCTCCTCCTCCTCCTCCGTAACCGCCTCCGCCTCCACCTCCTCCACCGGTTACCATACCTCCACTCCGACCTATTATTAATGTTTAATATTAATTTATTACAAAATAAATAAAAATAATTAAAAAAAAAGGTTTTTACCGAGAGTTCCCGATTGAGTTCCGTCGTATCGTTGGGATTCGAAATAACCCGAATGCATATCCGATTTCATTCCTTAAAATTATTATTATTATTATTATTATTATCAGGGAATGGAATAAGTTTTTTCCTACGATTTATGTTATATTTTATCTTACCGTTCATTCCTCCCATGCCGCCGCCTCCTCCTCCGCCCATAACGACACCTCCTCCACCACCACCACCACCGCCTTCATACATTTCTCCTCTTGATTCGCTAAATTGACTTGATTCAAAGTACCTATCTGATTTAACACCCGATGCAGATCGACCTAAATATACACAAATGACGTCATTTTTTTTCCCTCCCCAAGATTATTTTATATAATATATTAGAAATTTATTGGAAAAATACCGTGTCCCATTCCTCCTCCCATTCCTACTCCTCCTCCATCTCCTCCGGCTACGTTATCAAATTGTGATTCGTAATAACTGGATGACATTCCAGAACCAGACATTCCACGACCGCCGCTTTCTCCTCGACCTTTAAACATTTTATATATTTTAAATATAAATTTTCGAGATTTATTCATTTAAAATTAAATACCTTACCTAGAGTTCCTGCCTGGCCGTCGTATCTTTGCGATTCGAAATAACCTTCTGATTTAGAACCTGAAAATGGTATTTCAAATTAGTTCTACTTATTTTTCACAATAAATTAAAACAAAAAAAAAGAAAAACTTGCCTGCAGATTCCATGTATCCTCCCGATCTCATATCTCCACTCCTACCACCTACAAAACAAATAACGATAAAACAAAATGTCCGACACGTTTTAAATTTTAAAAAACGAGACAAAAAAATTAATTTTTTACCAGAACTTCTCATCGTATTCCGCTCATCGTAGTAAGATTCTCCAGATGTTAATGCTCCTGCAGCGGCTGCAGCTCCAGCAGCTCCAGCAGCAGCTCCGGCACCAGCTGCCATTAAACTTGCATTGCCACCACCACCTGATCGACCTAATTTCCCGCCAAAAAAAATTAAAGTATAGGAAATATATCAATTATTTAAAATCGCAACGTTAATAAATAAATACAAACCGAGAGCATTTTGCGCTTCGAATTTTCTCGAATCGAAATAACCACCGGCGGATTTCAAATCAGCTGTTTGTCCCACTGAAAAATTTTAAAAATTTAAATTTAAATTTAAATTTTTTTTTTTAAATTAAATTTAAAAAATACACAAAAAATTAAATTAAATTGAATTAATACTCGAACTATCATATTTTCCAGATTGATAATATCCATCGACTTTTCGTCCTAAAAAAAAAAATTATAAATTTAAATTTAATTTAAATTTAAATTAAATTAAAATTAAATTAAAATTTAATTAATAACCGAATCGAAACAAATTTCAAATAATGTGTTTTTTGTAAATTTTTTTTTTAAATGAATGTTTACCTTGCGTTGAATATCCAGATTGTAAATCTCCTCCTCCACCTTTCCTTCCTGTAATAATAATAATAATAATAATAATAATTTTCAATTAGATTTTTTTTATGTATTTATTACTGATAGTGGGAAGTCCCGAATTGGGATAAACATGGTAACCAATAAGAAAAGAAAAAAAAAGTACTCACTGACACTGTATTCCTCTCTGGAATTCCCTATAAAAAACAAAAAAATCCACATTATTATTATTATTATTATTTTAATCATTAAGAATTAATAAATAATTTTATTATTATTATTTACATAATTAATTTATTTATTAATTAGATAGTTAATTGAAAAGCAAAAGCAATATCCGGCGGCCATATTGAATAAATAACTGCCATTTTCTAAATGAATCACGTTTAATTTTTTTTTTTATTATTATTATTACATTTAATGTTTTTACCCTGCTAATTTTCCTTTTCTATTAAAACAAACAAACAACAAACAAACAAACAAACAAACAACTTACCGTATGATGTATTTTGCGAATCGTAGTACGAACCGCTACCACCTTTCATGTCCCCTCCTTTTTTTTCTGAAAATTAAATTTTAAAAAAAAGCAAATGGCGAACGAATTTTTTTGTACATCGCGTGTTAATGTTTATATATTAAAATTTCTGCAACATTAATAATATATGCATGATCGAAAAAAAAACGAAAAAATTATTATTATTATTATTATTTAAAGCATAAGCTGCATTTATTTAGAGCTATTTATGTATATATATATATATATTAATAACAATGATAAATATTTTAATAATTATTTTACTTTACCGTATGTGGGATTTTTAAATGTCGACGTTGCTTGTTTAAATATCGGATTTTCATCCTGTAAAAATATTAATAAATATTAGTTTTTAATATTTTATTTTAATTCGTTTAAAATAAAGGAATGACGTATGTACCGTGTTCCATTTGGCCATGAGTCTATCTTTTTCAAATTTGGCAAATTCTCTTCTGTCGTGTATCGTCGTGCACAATTTCCAACAGCACAACAAGGCAAGACCGATGAGTAAAATGGCACCGATCACACTTAAAACGATTCCTAACAAAAAATTGTAAAAAATTAATTAAACAAAGGGAAAAATGTAAATGAAAGAAAATTCTTGCAAATTACCCACCCAAAATGTTAATTTTAGCCGGACAATCCCTTTTTTCCTGCGCTCTCACGTAAACTTTACCCATATCGTCATATCCGTAAACGTAAGCAAATCGACAATCATCTTCGTCGTAGTAAGCGCAAAGATTTTCATCTCTTTCTTCGTTGGCTAAAAAAATAAAAATAACAAACGGATTAAAAAAAATTTTCGCTCGTCAAAGATGGTAGAAAATAAATACTCTCATCGAATTTCAACGTTCGAATATTAAATTTCCATTTTTTATAAAAGTTTAAATATTTACTACCTTCTATTACTTCGGCAGTGGTTGGTATGAATGAACAGTTGGCACACTCTTTTTCGGTTAACGGACCCGTTTTGTAAACTTGACATTGAACGCACTCTTTAAATTCCAAACATCTTCCAGGGCAGGTCTTTTTTTTGGGGAGAGAAAAAAAAAAAAAAAAAAAAAAAAAAAACGAAACGTTAATAATAATGATGATAATTATTTTTATTAAAAATTACCTAACTAAATTCTTTTTTTTATAATTTTTACGTACGGGACATTTTTCGCAAAATCTTCCGGAATATCTACCCTCTTCTTCTTGGTCACATTTACAAACGCCACATTCGCAAACACCTTTACCGGAACAAACTTCTCCTCCCTCTATAAATTTAAAAAAAATTTAATAATGAATACCAAAAGTGATTAAAATTAAAATTACAAAGAACAAAAATAAAAAAAAATTTACCGGGTGATATACAAGTATCGTTTGATGCTCGACAGTCGCATGCATCTCCCGTCCATCCTGCCAGGCATTGACATTTTCCACACACGCAAGTTCCGTGATCGGGTCCGGAACACAAAATCCCATTATTTCGATCGCATGAAAAATTATCACATTCGCAAAATCTTCCAGAAATAACCTTTAAAGCAAAACAAACAAGCAAACAAACATAAACATTGAAATTTTTTCCAGTTTTACTGAAATTTAAACGTTTTTAAAAAAAAATCACATTTCATACTTCGGTAGGATCGGATCGAATTTCACATTCGCAAACCCCGCACATGCAAGTCCCTCGTCCAGAACAGTCTATAAAAGTAAAATTGTCGGGTCGGCAACCGCCTTGAATGTCTTTGTCGACATTTAAACTCTCCGAATCGCATTCGCAAAAACGACCGAAATGAGACGAATCGCATTCGCATATACCGCATTTGTAATTTCCAAAACCGGAACAAGTTCCAGATTTATCTTCGTATTCCTAAAAAAAAAAAAAACCGTTAAAATGAGTCAATGAAGAGTCAATTCCCACTGGAAAATTTTGTGTATAATAAAATTACTGGATTTTCTGGATTTTCGCATGGACATTCGCATTGCATTTCTAAATCGACGACAAGATATTCCTGAATACCGACTGGATATATTTTAAACGTTTGTCTCCATTCTTTTTTATCAGGGGGACAAGAAGCAACTTCTATTTCGGCTGAAAAATTTACAACCGTTCCAACCTGTACCAAAAATAAAAATAAAAATAAATTAAGGTTTTCCATTTCCATCAAAGACTTGACGTCAACCTGAATTAAATATGTACCTTTAAACCATCGCATTTGTTCGTTTGCTTAGGAGGTCCTCCACCCAAACAAGAGGAATAATACGAGACTTTGATGGCACTCGAAGCCGTATCTTTCATTTCGACGGACGAAGAAATTTTCTGTAAAATATTTTAAAGTAAATGTAGATAATTCCTTCATTTTCGAAGGAAACAAAATGTCGGTTAGAATATTACATCGTATTGCTCTTTGACCAAATCGACAACGTTTGAAGAATCGCTGCTTAACGTTCCAGAAGATGCTCCTTCGATGTTTTCTCCCAATTGTTCGTAGACTCCAAATTGATCAGCAGTCACGGCAAATATGACGTTGATTGAATTTTCTTTGACTTTCATATTAACTTGAGATATCGAGGGATAATCTTGAAGTTTCGAATGAGTGTACATTCCTCTGGAATCTAAATGACATTCGCCATCGTTGGGTTTGACAATACCTCCCAACTAAAAAACGAATATTAATAATAATTCGATAACACGATCGACTTTTCTTTTTGCTTTTGGGGGGGGGGAGGGGGATTTTTATCGAACCTTTCCGTCTCCGGCGTAGTGAAAACCCGCATCGGTGGAAAAAACCAAAAGTTTTCTTGCTTTTTCACGCCACCCGATTTCATTTTTACAAACTATTGCTTGCATAATGGCGTCAAAACCTCCTTCCGGCGCATCCAAATTACCGGAAACGGCAGCGTTGCTTACTTCTCCCTGCGTCAACAAACAAATACTCAATTTTTTTTTTTCATAAATTCAAAAATTTAATATAATAAATAAATAGTTTATCCTATAAGTTAATAACTTAATTTTTTTTTAAAAATTAAATGTTGTTATTATTATTACAAACAAAAAAAAGAATTTAATGCGGTATTAGTTACCAAGTCACAAAGTGCGAAAAGCAATCAATTGCACAGCAAAGTTAAATATAGGTAGTATTAGTCTAGTACTATACAAAACTAAATTTACACCACAGGTACTTATGAAGAAAATTATGTTTTTTAAAAAGTAATCAAGTTATTTAAATTTTAGACAAAAATAAGCTAAAGAAAATTTTTTTTTATTATTCAAAAATTTATTTACAACAATCGAGAGACAATTATATATATATATCACTACTACTTTTATTTACATTAAAAAAAATTTTTTTATTTTATTTTATTGAATGGCTGAAAGAAGGGATTATTTGGACAAGGTTCGATATATCCAATACCTAAATTAAAAATAATAATAATAATAATAACGCATTCAAAGTTCATATAAAAAAATTAAATGGATAGGAATTATTTCCAACTTCGTTTTTTTGTAAACGAAAAAGGGGAATTTGTCGAAAGGAGGGGGGTGGGGTGGGGGGGAAATATTAAACAAAAAATTTTTTTTTCTCAAGCTATCCCGCATAAAGTTTATAATTATCCGAATATTGAGTTAAATTTTAATGAAAAGTTAAAAGCGGTTAAAATCTTTAAAAAATTAATGGCGTCGTCGATCGCGCGCGCGCGCGTGTGTGTGTGTGTGTGTGTGCGCGTCGGTGTTTACATTGGAAAAAATAAAAATGTCCTGTGCGGCGCTGCCGATGTTAAAAGTTACGACGGCAGCGTAATTTATTATATTATACGTGAACGGAAAAAATTGCTGTCGTTATTTCATTTAATCGTTGTTATTTATTGCTTAGAAGAAACCAAAGTTTCTGACTTACGGCAAATCTATAAGTATCCGTACTCAAAGACATGACATTTTGAAATCCGTAGGGAGCGGCACAACCGTGACAAGGCTCCGCCAAACTATAAGGTTGAGGCAAGTCAAAAAAAAAAAAAATTAAATAGTATAAAAATATTATTTATCATACATAAATCTATTGAGGATTTTTTTCGAAGGGGGATTTTTGAATTGATAAGGGGGGAAAGGGGGGGGGGGCGCTTTGAGAGAGAAAATAGAAATAGATGTGAAAATATTTCACAATCAAGTCGTAATTCATTCATTATTACATGCTCGTAAAAAAAAAAACAATTCACTAGGAAAAATCTTGTTTAAAAGAACAACGCTAAGGAAAATTATACACAAAGGAAATTTTTTTTTTTTTTTTTTTTTTTTACCGGGAGCCGGGTGTAAACAACTCCCACATTCCTCATTCCAGAGCAATGAAAAAGGCACAATATAGTACATAGAAAAGCACCCTCTCCGAAAGCACCACTCTAACTAAATCGCTTAAACGACACTGTGCTTTACCCACCCCCCCAATTATCGAGACATCACACGCATGGGAGATGGAAAAACCAATTTTTTGCGTCTTAACGAAGAGAGAGAAAAAAAAAAAAAAAAAAAAAAAAAAAAGAATACACGGTAATTTACAGCAAGCAAACATTCATCCCCGAATAAATAAATAAACCCTTGAGAAGAATGATAATAATAATAATAATAATAATAAGATAATTTTTTTAAATAAAAAAAAAGCCAAGAATTTTATCTAAGAAATTTTTCATGACTTCCAGAGGAATATATGACTTACTGAAAAGGCTGAGGTATTTACGTTGAGTGGCATGTGATTTTTGAATCCGTAGGGCGGTTCACAACCTTCACAAGGCTCGGCTAACCTGTTTGATATTTATCACAGTCGAACATCATTAAATTTTTTTTTTTTTTTTTTTTAAGGGGGAGAGGGAACCAAAAAAAAAAATTTTTTTTTTAAAAATAAATTATCAATTATTTCATAATTCCTTACCCTCATCATTTGTTTGTACCGCATCAAAACAAACACTAAAACTAATTACTCGAATATAAATAATAATAATAATAATAATATCAAATATTTTCGGGCACGTGAAAATAATTCAAATTTTACATCGATCTAAAACTAAATACCTCCCCTCTCCATCTATCCATCTATCAATCTACCTGACTTTTATGATATACCGAATTTTATAATAATTCCTCCCCGAATGGAGCAACAAAAGGAAAAGTACTTACTTCTTGGGTACGGTACTGACGTAGGGCATAACAACTTTATCGACAAAACTTCCAAAACCCAAACGAAAATTCGACGTTATGTTTTGCATCGTTTGTGCTAATCTATTACCCAAAAACGATAGTTTATCCTTGTCGTCTTCCATGGATTTTGACAAATCCATAAGATAATATAAATCCACGGGATAATCTTCGGCCTGAGCATAACTGAAATCCATTCTGTAAGGTTCATCTGGGAAAGAAAAAAAAAAAAAAAAAAATTCCATGAGATTTTTTAAACAAAACGTTCGACGAAAACATTTTAATAAATCACAATTAATTATCGATATTAAATCAACAGCAGCAGCAGCAACAGCAACAGCAGCAGCCGCAGCAACATTCTTTTTTTTTTTTTTTTTTTTTTTTCACAATCGAAATTCTTATTAATCACTTACTGATTCTTAATTTAAGCGCGACACGTTGGGGAGATATTTGTACGGCTTCGTGTTGATAATAAGAGGAACCATAACTTCCGGAACTCGATGAAGAACTGCTGGAACTGAAAGAACTGCTGCTGCTGTGTGAATGACTTTCTTCGTAAGCAGCTTCGTAACCGCCACCCCCGCCACCGCCTTCGTACCCCGATCTCGATGCTTTTTTCAATTCTCTCGCTTCGACCAGAGTGAAAACATTGTCGGGATTCACGACGAACGCTTCGTCGCATTGCATGTGAACGTTGATGTTTATGTTGGGTTGAAAACATCGTTTCGTGTCTCCAAAATTCTGCAAATGATTTAAATATTAATAATAATATTTTTAAAATAATAATAATAATTTAACGACGATATACTCCACACCTACCGGTTGTGAACACCAAGCGCAAGTTGGCGTTTGTATACATTCATGGCACGTTTGCTTTGACACACAGGGATTTTGACTAGAAAATTTTTCCGATATTGGAGATTTGTAACCCGCTACAGTGCAAATAAATATTAAAAATAAAAAAAATGTGCGGCAGCTCCGACTCTCCATTCTGCCCCTACAAAAAAAAAAAAAGACATTTCCGGTTTTAAAAAAATTTTTTTTTAAATATATAAATAGTAGCAAAATTACAAACAGAGACATTCATTATACATATTTCAAATCGAACAAATTTCTTTTTTGTTTTTTTTTTTTTTTTTTTTTTAAATTAATTTAATGAACTGCGTGTATATTAATAATAATAATTAAACAATTGTTTTTTCTTCTTTTTGGTAAAAATAATCTGTTTAAATTTTTTAAAACTTTAAAATATGCAAAGGAAACAAAATAAGCTAAACTATAAAAGAGAGAGAGAGAGAGAGAGTTTTTTTTAAAACTTCATTTAATAACTTCATATAACTTTTTTTTTTTTTTCTAGAACACAACTAAACTACTTGAATTGAAAAATTACAATTTAAAATTTAATTTCAAATTTAAAATAATGCAAATTTTATTCTTGAACGTTTCTAAAACGTTTTTTTTTTTTTTTTTTTAATAAGAAAACTGTTTTTTCGAAATAATAATAATAAATTTTTTTTTTCAATTTGAAACCGAATTTTCAACAAAAACTTCTTTTTTGCGATCGTCAAACGGTTAAAAATCGTTTTAAAAAATTTACAACGAAATGATTACAACAACAACAACAACAGCAACAACGACAGCCGTAATCGCCATTAATGGACGTCTGAACATAAAAATAATACGTCCAAAGAAGAAATTTATTTAGGTCCCAAGTTTGATTTAAAAAATTAAATTCCGCAACAACAACAACAACAACAACGAAAAAAATTTCATCATTACGTAATTTAAATAATTTTCACCACCCAGTTCTACCAACCGAAAAAAAAAAAAAAATTTTTTTTAACATCACTAAGGTATTAACGATTGTGATTTGTATCATCATCATCATCATCATCATCATCTTTACATTCTAAAGAAAAAAAATATTTAAAAAAAATTGGAATATTATACCAATGTCTCAAAATGCAAAATCGTTGACCTCAAAACAACAGCCGGAGATCTTTAAAAAAAAATTTAATTAATGGCGGCAAAGATAATAATAATAATAATAATAATAATAAATTTTTTTTATCATTATCTTAATTTATCTAATAAAAAAATTAAAAAAAAAAAAAAAAAAAAAACATTTTTAACTAAACTAACAATCTTAAATCAAATTAAATACTTGCAATTTCGAAAAAAAAAAAAGAAGCAGAAGAAAAAAAAAATAAAAAAATGACCTCCGTGGTGTTCAGCGATGCATTTACAAGAAAATAATAATAATAATAAATTGTAAAAATAGCAGCAGCAACGTTCAATAAAACAACAAAAAAAAAAAAAATTTCCTTTCAGTTATTACATGGATTTATTATTATTATGATTTATTTATTTTAATGCCCCACCAATTTCCCGCGTGTAATTTATTTAAAAAACTTTGAATTTAAATCGATATACATAAATTTTATAAATAAATAAATAAATAAAACTAAAATTATAAAGACTGAAATCAATTTAAAAAAAAAAAAAATTTTTTTCCTTTTTTTTTTTTTTTTAGGTCAAACGTATAATGTCAATTTTTCCTTTCCCTTTTTCCTTTTTTTTTTTTTTTTTTTTATTACAATGGATGCAAAAAATTTTCAACCCTAAAAAGGTTTTGTCATCCTTTTTATTATTATTATTATTATTATTATTATTCAATCGATTTTCTTCTCTCTAATAAAATATTTCAATTTACGAGATTTAAACGTTAGTGACACTACTACAACAACTTTTGCCTTTTTTTTTTTTTTTACAAAAAGAAAATTTAAAACCTTTTTCCAGGTCCTTCAACCAAACCTTAAGTCAAAAAGAAAAGAAAAGAAAAAAAATTGGGATTTTGGCATGCGTACCAATATTTAACCAATTATTTAATTTCCGCCATTCTTTGAATAAAATTAACAAAATAAATAAATAAACACGTTTTAAAATGCGACTGTTATCCGTTATTATTATTATTATTATTATTATTATTATTATTATTATTATTATTATTAATTTTCAGGCTTATTATTCGCATAATTTAACGTAATCAAATTTTTTCATTTAATTTTTTTTTTTTTTTATAAATACAAACGAACCAGCGTTTTTCATTTAATTTTTTTAAATAATATTTTAATTAAATTAAAACAAATTCTTCACGCCCCCACCCCCACCCCCCGCCAAACATTAAACAAACAATAATAATGATAATGATAATAATAATAAAAATACGCACGTAGAATTTTTTTCTAGAAATTTAACGTACAAACACATGATACACAAACCGTAAATTTTTTTTTTATTATATTTTTTTTATTAATGACCTCGTTCGACGCTGTTTTTTTAAAGTTCAACAATAAAATAATATTTTTCCCCCATATTAATAATAATAATAATAATAATAATAATAATAATAATAATAATAATAATAATAATAATAAAATTTTCATCCCATTTATTTATTTATTTTTTTATTATACGTCGGTTTTGAAGGCATTTAATCAATTTCATGCCCTCATTTATTAACTTTTTTTTTTTTAAAAGAAAGATATTTCATTTAATTTATAAAAACGTTTTTTGAAATCATTTGTTATAAACAAATAAAATTAAAAAAAAAAGAAAAAAACCTGCAAGGCGGAACCGTGACAGAAAAAAAAAAAAAAAAAAAAAAAAAAACATTGAAACCTGTTTACATTGTCAGGTTTACACATTGCTGGCGCTTACAGATAAATAATTGCCACGTTTGTAAAAAAAATAATAATAATAATAATAATAATAATAATAATACTTAAATTTAAATAATTTTTCCATTACCTAATAAGTCATCACTTTTTTTTTTTTTTTTTTTAAAAAAAAAAGTTTGATTGTTTCATTTTAAACAAAACAAAAAACTCGATTGATTGACTCAAAGTCTTTGTAAATGCTGGCAATGAATTGAAAAATTATTTTTAAAAATTACACAAAAAACGAAAAAAAAAAACGAGAAAAAAATTTCCTCGAAAAAAAAAAAAAAAAAACCGCGCCTTCTTTCGTATAAACTTTGGCGACTTCATATGACATCATCATCCCGTTGATGATGATGACGATGACCTCATTTCCATTTACCAAATCAAAATTAACCTAGACGTTCATAATCCACCTCTGCTTTTGCAAAAAAAAAAAAAAAGAAAAATTTTTTTTAAAAAAACATTCAGGCACGAAACCGAGTCAACGGAATCCAATGCCATCGAGAGAAAGAGAGAGAGAGAGAGAGAGAGAGAGAGAGAGCCTGTATAACTTTTTTTTACGACCAACACTTTACAACTTTTTGTTTTTTTAAAAATGAAACAACCAAAAATTTTTACAATAATTTATTTTTTACTTATTAATAATAATAATAATAATGAAGTGAAAGAAAAAAAAATTTTTTTTCTTGGCCAACATCCACATATGACGACGAATGATGACGCCATTACTCTTTCGATATAACAAATTTTTTTTTTTTTTTTTTCTTTAAAGCGAATTTTCTAATGTTTTATAATTTTTGTTTTTTTGTTTTGTATGTCAGTCGTTACAATATAAATTTTCAAAAATAATAATAATAATAATAATAATAATAATAAAATTCTTTTAAATTTAAAAAAAAAAAAAAAACAATGCGAAAGTTTTAAATACAAACCGATATTATTATTTATTTTAAATACATCATCATCATCATCATTATTATTATTTATCAATACGTTTCACATCTCATTCATCATTAAAAAAAAATTAAATTTGATTATTTTAAATATATATATATATATAAATAAATAAATAAATAAGAATCAATATCTTTTGAAATTTTTTTTTTTTTTTTCAATAATATTAAAAGATTATTATGTATTATATCAATTTGTACTTTAACCCAAAAATGTTTTTCTTCTGCTTTAAGGTATGTAAATAAATAAATAAATAAAAATGATAAAAATGATACGAGAATAAAAACAATGAAAGCTTTTTTTTTTTTTCCTTTTTAAAAATTGTGTTAAAATTTATCTAGGAAAAGTTTTTTTTTTTTTTTATAATGAAACATCATTTATCATGAATTTCATTCAATAAGAAAAACTAGAACATGTTAATTTCATTATTATTTTCTTAATAAAAAAAAAAAAAAAATTTAAATTTTTTTCTTTTACACAAAAGATTATAAATGTTGGTTTGATAATTTTAAATCATTATTATTATCATTATTATTAGTATTAGTTTTATTGGAAAATTGAAATTTTTTTACCACCATAAATGACAAAAAAGGAATTTGTTTTTTTACATATACGGCATTTTTGTTACACAAAATGTGTTGAGATTTTAAAACGTGATGTTGTTTGTGTTTGTGTTTGGGTGCGTGTGTGTGTGTGTGCGTGTGTCAAACCATATCAAATGCAAATAGCTTTTAAATTAAAGAAAAAAAATACAGAAAAATGCTCGAAATAGATTTTTCTTTTTCTCTTAAAATTTTATTTAAATCAAATCGAATCGAAATTTTTTTTTTTTCCCCCTACCATTTTATCAATTATTTATTTATTTAAGGATTTAAATCGTAGGTAAACAAATATCAAATGACAATTTGCAGGGGGGAAAGAGAGAGAGAGAGAGAGAGAGAGAAAAAAACAAGAAAATCAAAAACAATTTTAATAATTTAAAGAGTTTTTTTTTTAAACCTTTTACACGCCATAATTCATTTACAAAATTGTATATTTTTGCAATTTTTAAATATTTAAATCATTCTAATTTAGAAAAAAAAAAGTTTTATAACGTTAAGTTATGCTTCATTAAATTTCCCCCCCCCCTCTCTCTCTCTCTCTCTCTTTCTCTCATCTCAACTTTTTTATGATTTTTTTTAACTTTTAACGATTCTTATGCACAATTTATTTATTTATCTATCTATTTTCATTCACTCAATGGTTTTTCCCATTACATAGCAATCCCCCCCTCCTCCCCTTCTTATTTTTTTTCTCCCCCTATTTTGTTTTTCTTTTTTTTTAAACAATTTACCATTCAAACGACCATCAATGTGCTAATGTTATATTACATTTATCACGAATATAAATATCTAAATAATAAACATTAACAAGAAAAAGAAAAAGAATTTTGAAATTAACGTGGGGAGAGAAAAAATTTCAAACGTTCAAAATAAATAAAAACTGGAAAAAGAGAGAGAGAGAGAGAGAGAGAGAGAGAGAGAGAGAAACAAATTAAATCTAACACGCAACACATTAAAAATGAACGTGAGTCTTAATGAGTTAAGATTCATAGAATTTTACAATTTTTTTTTTTTTTGCTGATTTAAATAATGCAAAAAATATATGTGATTAATGAGATCATAATGAATAATTAATTTTAAATGAATTATCTAATGTCGCCGCCCCCCCCACTCCACCTCTCCCAACTCCCCCGTCTTTTATTAAAACGTTTAATTAATTATTAAAACATATTAACATCAAAAAAATTTTTGCTTTTATTTTTATTGTATATTCGATTATTTAATATTATTATTAGTGACAAAACAAATTTAAAAAAAAAAAAATTGTGGAAAAAACTAAAGTAAAAACCCGCCTCTTCTTGTTTTTTTTTTTTTTTTTTTTTTTTTTTTGTGGTCGCCCACGTTTTATTTCGTCCGTTATATTTCCGATTTAATTTAATATATATAAAAGAATAAATTTTGTCGTAGCCTCCTTAGGAGGCTTAACTTGTTTACCCACACATTTAAGGAGATGAATTAAAATGCATGGAACTTACTTACTACTATCTTGTTTCTATTGGTGTTTTCATTCAATCAAACAATTCCTTATATGAATAAACTATTTATGAAGTGAGTTATCACACACACACACACACTTTTGCATATACTAACTGGTTTTTCTCCCCCCCCCTCCTCTCTCTCTCTCTCTTTTTTCTAATCGTTATTGAAATTTACTCATTTTTATTTACATTAACTTACTCGAATACATTTCTTTTTATTAAAACTTTCACTTATTATATATATTCGATACATAATTATAATTAATTGTTATTTCATTTGTTTTGTTTATTGTATATTTAACTCACATGTACATGAAATTGTTTTATTTAAAGTATTAATAATAATAATACTACATAAATAAAATATGATTTTTATCGAATGAATGTTTTACGTTTAAAAAAAACCTTTGTGCATAATATTCTTACACATATATAAAGCCTGAATTGATTCTTTTATTATATTATATATTAATTTAACCTAAAAATATATATTTTCATTCATTTAAGTAAGTAAAAATTGTTTAACGATATAATTTATCAATGAGAAAATTATCATGTTTAAAATATATAGAAAAAAAAAAATTTGTTCTTCTATTAAAGTAAATCATAAAATATTATTAAATGAAATTTTCATTGAATTTTAATAGTAATGAGTTTATTTGATATTTATAAATAACTAATGAATTTTAAAATGTGTATTATGCAATTTGAAACCATTAAAAAAAAAAAAAAAAACCAAAAATTGGTAAAAAAGAAAGACCTTTTTATTGCGAAATTAAATGTTTAATGAGTGTTAATAATAAAGTATAACTCTATAATTAACTATGACTCAGTTAAATTAAATTTTAAAATATTAGAGAGAGAGAGAGAGACAATTAAAAAGAAATTTAAATATAAAAATTCAATTTTTTTCATAATAATAATAATTTTTAAAAAA